CCGCCGCGCGACCCTAGTGCAGGAAACCGAGCGCAGGGGGGGACTTGGCCGGGGGAGCAATGGGCCCCCACCCACGCCTGCCCTGCGCCACTTCCCGGCCTGGGAGCCCTGAGCCGCCTGGGAGACCACGGCTGTCTGGGAGGGGGCTCTGCCCGCCCACATCCCCGCCTCCTCCAAGGTCAGCCCAGGCCAGGGAGATGGTCCCTGAGCTCTGAAAAATCAGCCTTTCTCTTCTTCGTCTGCAGCCAGATGGCCAGGCCGCTGTCCACCCCGAGCCCTTCGCAGATGCAAGCTAGGAAGAAACGCAGAGGGGTGAGTGTCTGTCTCCGCGGAGTCGCCTGGCAAAGTTTTGCCCTGGGTCCCCAGGGGCCCAGCCCAGAGAACCCTGGTCGGAAATATCACCCAATCCAGACTGCCTGAGTGCAAATTCTGGCTCTGCCAGTGGCTAGCGGAGTGGCCTTGGGCAAGCCACTCAACCTCTCGGTGCCTCATTTCTTCAACTGTGTCACTGAAAAAATGACAGTGCCTACCTCAAAGGGCTGTTTTGACGACCGAGTTAATATAATGCGCCCAGAACCACACCTGACACACAGTTAGGCTTTATTATTTATTCCAGCCTTCTGTCTCTACTCTCTGAGCCCAGAATTTTCATTTCCTCTCTGCGTGCCAAGGGGTAGGGCAGGGGGATAGAGAAGGAAGCTCCCGGGTTTGCTATTGGCCGTCTTATCCCGGCACCCCCTTCTCTCCCAGGATGCGGCTATGCTTCTGCCCTGGGAGTCCCAAGACCTGGAATGTGGCAGAGACCAGCCCTGCCACTCAGGCAAACCACTTCCTTCCAGCCCTTATCTTTATCTGTTAAATGGGGGTCATAATGTCTGCCCCGCTGTCAGCATTCTGCTACCAGTCTGGTGAGGTGAGAATGAGTGTGAATGGAAGGTCTTCCGGACTGGAAGCAAAGCCTCTTCATGACCCAGCAACTGAGGAGGTGACCTCGACCTGCAGGAACCTCCAGGAACTGCTCCCACGCGGGGGCTGGTGTCCCTGTTCTGACTGGTCGGTACCCTGATGTACAGTGGTTAAGCATTTTGAATAGCACCCCAACAGACCAAGACAAGAGATCTGAGTTCTACTCCTAGCTTTGCACTTCCTTCTTATGTGACCTTAGGCAAGTCACTGCTCCTCTCCGAGCCTCAGTTTCCTCCTCCATAAAGTAAGACTAGACTTCTCTCCTTCACAATATTTTAAATATGAGTCAGTGGTCATCAAAGCACGTTGGAAACTGGTGAAGTGGCTGCAAGTAAATTCTTGTCGTTGTTTTTTAGATTATAGAGAAACGGCGTCGGGACCGCATCAACAGCAGCCTTTCTGAACTGCGACGCTTGGTCCCCACTGCCTTTGAGAAACAGGTGTGTGACATTCCCCATTGTGCTAGAGGAAGTACCATGCAGGTGGCAGATAAGGTCCATTTTTCATGGCATGTCTTACTGATTGGTGGCAGCTGCCTGAGGTGCTGGGGTTTTGTGTACTGATATCTGTCACTGGCCAGGGATAAGGGGAATGGAAATTTGTATTTACTGTGGCGTCTCAGATGTTGTGGCTCTGTGTCCATCACCCCATGATCCCAAAGGGTAGGGTTTATTATGCCCATGGCACGGGTAAGGAAATTGAAGCACAGAGAGGTAAAGTAACTCTCACTAGATCACACAGCTAAGTAAATAGCAGAACGGAATGGGAACACCGAACTGTGTTTGGTTCTAAAGCCCCCTAGCCCTCTGTGCTACTGACAGTCCCAGAGCCATTTGAAAGTGGAACAGGCTACCCGGGGAGCGAGCCCCCTGCCGTTGCACCTGTGGAAGAGGAAGACTACAGTGGAAGCCAGACAGTTAAACCAATCAGACTGCCTGGAAGATTCTCTACCCTGTGCTCCAAGGCATGGTCATGGGTCATGTGCCTTTCTTCCTGAGAAGAAGTCAGTCATTCCACAGACGTTCGTTCACTCAAACTTTCACAGGCCCAGCTAGACCTAGACCTGGTACCTGCCCTCAAGAACTTACGTGGAGAGTCTGACACTCAGGTTTCACTTGGGAGATCAGGTGATGCTGGACGCTTAGGAATCATTGCTCAAGAGAGAATAGAGGAGGAGCAAGCGCTGTGGGGCTAAGATGATGAGCTAGATCTCGGGCGTGGTGGGTGTGGAGTTGATTCCCAGGAAAGCTGGTCTAGAAGGCAGATGGGCACGCAGGAGTGGCATTCCGGTGACGGTGCACTAAGTCATGGAGGTCACATACGAGACCTCCCAGGGAGAGTGTGTCTAGCGAGCAAGAGCCAGGTGGAAGAAGAAGCAAGAACACGGGGTGTCGTGGAAGTCAAGGGAAGGGGGGACGTTGCAGGAGGGACGCTCAACAGTGCAGCGGGCGGGCGGATGAAAATGAGACCTGAAGAGAATCTATTCGGCTGGGCGCCTTGGCCAAAGCAGAAGCCGAAAGGCTGGCAGTGGTGGAGTGGGAGGACGACCTTGAGCTGGTGAGGTTGCTGACGCCGCTGGGAAGTGAGAGAGAAGCCTTCACACTTCTGTCCTCTGCGCACACAGGGCTCCTCCAAGCTGGAGAAGGCCGAGGTCCTGCAGATGACAGTGGATCACTTGAAAATGCTCCACGCCACTGGTGGGACAGGTACTGATGCTTTTCTCTCCCATGAGTCATTCAAGCAACAAATACGTGGGGGCGAGGCCGTGGGGATCCACTGTGAGCAAAGCAGATGGGGTCCCTGCCCTCATGGAGCTCACAGTCTATGGTGGGGCTAAAGCAGGTCCAGGTGGAGCAGCCACAAAGCCTGTCTCTCTTCTTTCAGTATCGCCCTCTCCACTGTCAGTGTCCCCATGTGTCCCAACCTTGTTCTCAACTCCACTCCTTCCGGCCTTAGCCCTTGGAGGAGCTCTCCTACACAGACTGGCTTCCCCACCCTTAGCCCCCCTCTGGCTTCCCCACCCTTAGCCCCCACCCTCCTTAAGCATTAGCCTGAGTGAACTCATTCTCACTGGGATCCCAGTTGAACCCCTGGGTGGGGCCTGCCTGAGATTTTTAGCCACAGATGTTCACTGGGGTGCCTTCTGAGCTAGTGCTGGGGTAATAGTGTGTCCTCAGCAGTGCTGGGATCGTATGTCATGCTCACAGTTCAAGATCGGTCGTGGGATTGTGGTAGCATACAATTGTAACTCATTCCGTTACTTTGAGCTGGTGCATTACAGTGAAGTCATGGAACTGTGGCTTTCAAAAGACTGAGCCTCACTGTATATTTTGGTGATTTCACAACCGAGAAAGCTGGAAAGCTCCACAGACCTTGACACAAGAACCTAAGTCCTAAAACCTTAACTTGCTACCTTTGGAGGGGACAGTTGCATTTTAATTGACCCAGCCTGGTGCTTCTCAAGCTTCAGTGAACTGCGCAGGATCATCTAGGGGCAGGCAGCCCTGGGGCACACCCCGGAGATTCTGAGCCAGGAGGTCTGGCCTGGAGGTTAGGAATTTGCAAGTTTAGCAAGCATGCCTGATGACCCTGATGCAGGTGGTCGCTTTGAGAACTTCTGCCAAAGGAATGCATGGCCAACAGTGAAAACTTCTGATTTCGGTCAACCAGTGGGGGAGATACTTCAAACTACGTTTATGGTTACCCAATTAAAAGAAAAACAGTGACTAATATTTGGGGCAGCATTTTGTAGTTTCAAAATGCTTTCACCATCGTTATCTCATTCGATTCCTATAAGAATCTCGAGGCTGGGGGTTGTCGCCATCACCATTTTCTGGCTAAGGGCTAATGGGAAGACAGAGATATGGCTTAGAGCACTGCTTTTGGGTTAGAATCCTGAACTGAGTTGATTCGAATCCCATGAATTGTGAGGTTGGCTCTATGACTTGCCAGCTCTATTACGTTGGACAAATGATTTAGCTTCTCTATTCCTCAGTTTTCTCATCTCTGAAATGGGAGTAATGACAGGGTTTTTCTAAGGATTAAATCAGATAATGCAAATTAAGTACTCAATAAGAACTCAGAAAATGTTAGTTGAAAAAGAACAGCAAACACAGAAACTGAAGGGTTTTGCTCAAAGTCGCATAGTTAAGTATACGACAAGGTCTTGCTCCCAAGGAGGCCTGACTCCAAACATCGTCTCCCGTAGAGCTGTCCCTCCGTGGGGGCCTCAGCCATGAACCAGGGACCAGATATTTGCTGCCGTAGTCATGAGGCCAGTGCTCACAGAGGCTATTCTGTCTTTGCACAGAAGGTGGTTGATAGCGGGGCAGGTATAAAGGCAGTGAGAATGAAATACCTCTGTGGGCAGTCCACCTGGTCAGACCTCACTGAAACCAGCCAAAGAGAGGGTCCCAGCCTGATGGCAGCAGCTGAGGACCAGAGCGGGGTCCTGCTTTCCTGACAGCCCTTCAGGCTAGGGGACAGACTCAAATGCCCACAGGGGCCAAGCCAGTAATATGCCCTTGACCCTTGAACAACACAGGTTTGAGTAGCACAGGTCCTCTTCTATGCAGAGTGTTCGCAGTAAATGTGTTAGAAAATTTTTTAGAGATTTGCAACAGTTTGAAAAACAATTGCAGATGCACCACATAGCCTAGAAGTATTGGGAAAACGTAAGAAAAAGTTAGGTATGTCATGAATGCGTGAAATAAATGTAGATGCTGGTCTGTTTTATCATTCGCTACCGTAAAATAGACATGCATCTATTATTGACGTTACAACTTATCAAAACTTCCTCATACAAATACTTACAGACTGCACATGGTGCCATTTGCAGTGGAGAGAAATATAAATGTGAAGATGCATTATAATCTTAATTGCATAAAAGTCGCTGTAGTTTATACATACCGTGCTACTGTGATAATTTCCTAGCTACCTCCTTTTGCTCTTGCGGTGAGCTCAAGTGTTGCGAGTATCTGCTTAAGACTCCATGTGACACTAATCATCTCCGCGTGAGCAGTTCGTCTCTCTAGTAAATTGCTATCACGGTAAAAAGTTATCTCTGGCGGTTCTCACTCTAGGTAGTTTCTGGGGAGTCAAAAGTTTGCTCAGGTTTTCGACTGCGCTGGGGGAGGATCAGTGCCCGTAACCCCATGTCGTTCAAGGGTCAGGTGTAAATGATGAATTCGTTGACTGTTTCTGTGCACCGTTGCATTTAATTTCACCTTCACAGCAAGTATCACTATATGCCCATTTTGCGGCCAAGGAAATTGAGGCTTAGAAAGATTAAGAGGCTTGTCCACAGTCAGGCAGCTAGTCAAGTGGAGAAGTTGAGGTCCAAAGACCTCAGGCTTCACTGTGACATCATGCTGCCTTCTCTGAGGAGTCCCCAAGCTCTGACCGCTGCTGCCGCCACCTCCCAACATCCGCCCTCACCAGCAGGCAGGGGTGTTCTACACCTCTACGTGCGCAGGCCTCTCACACCTGGCAAAGCGTCCACTTAAACGACAGTACCTTGGTCGCAAAGTTTCTTCTCTGCCTTAATCATGAATTTTGATGAAAACAATACTCTACATTTTATCCTGCTTCATAGTTCAGTGAACTCACTTGGTCCTCACAACACACCCCAGATACCCCAGGAAGGGGTGATTATTCCCACTTTACAGATGTGGAGACCAGGGCTCAGAGAGGTGAGGTGACACGCCCAGGGTCACACAGACCTGACCCCAGGATCAGCACTTGTCCCCCGCCTGGCATGCCCTCATCACGCCTCACTTTGCAGGATTCTTTGATGCCCGAGCCCTGGCAGTTGATTTCCGGAGCATCGGTTTTCGGGAGTGCCTCACCGAGGTCATCAGGTACCTGGGGGTGCTGGAAGGGCCGAGCAGCCGTGCAGACCCTGTCCGGATTCGTCTTCTCTCACACCTCAACAGCTACGCAGCTGAGATGGAGCCTTCTCCCACGCCCGCTGGCCCCCTGGCCTTCCCTGCCTGGCCCTGGTCCTTCTTCCATAGCTGTCCAGGGCTGTCAGCCCCCAGCAGCCAGCTCACCGTCCTGGGAAGAGTGCCCGGTCCCATCCTCCCCAGCGCCTCCTCTCTGGTCTACCCCATCCCCGCCCTCCGAACCACTCCCGTGCGCAGAGCCGCTGGTACTGTCCTGCCAGCCCGGAGGCATGTGCTGCCTAGTCGAGGGGCATCTTCTACCCGGAGGGCCCGCCCCCTGGAGAGGCCCGCTGCCCCCCTCCCCGTGGCCCCCAACATCAGGGCTGCCAGGAGCAGCCACATGGCACCCCTCGTGCGGTCTTCTTCCCCCGTGCTCCCTGGCATCCTGGGGTCCCCTGCTTATGTGGGTGTTCCTGCCCCCAGGCCTTCTTCCCCAGGGGCTGCTGGGAGGCCAGCAGGAGCTGTGCTCTGCCACTCCTGGGTCTCTGAAATCACTGAAATCGGGGCTTTCTGAGGCGGCTTCTCCCCGGGAGTGAGGAGGGTTCTTTTTCCAGGAGCTCTAAAAACAGTGCTATCGTCTGCCCTGCTTCCTGGCCTGGCTCATCTATCTATGAAGGCATCTCCCTCACCCATCAGAGGCGCCCCTTCCTCCTCTGGCCCATCTCCCCTCCTCACTGCCTGTCCCAGCTTGCCCACCCAGCTCTCTTGGAGCTGTTGTGATCTCAGAGGCCTCGTCTCATTTCTTACCTGGACAGATAAGTCGTGGGAGGGCCCCCACTAGCTTTGCCCAGACTCTTACCTGCCCCCCGGGCACACAGGGGGCAGCAGGCATGAATCTAAGGTCTGGGAACAAAGCTTTCACCTAAAGGCACAGTGGCCTCGGGCAGATTGCTTGCCTAGAGAGATCAGACCCCCGGCCAGAGCAGTGACTGACTGGTGCAGCCTTCCCAGGCCCCCAGGGCCAGAACGTAGTGTCTGCCTCGCTTCCGGAGACAGTAACTGAGCAGGGGCCACAAAGTTGTCTCTGGAGAACCCTTGTCTGCCCCTGCCCACCCCACTGCAGTGAACCACAGGACAGGTGCCCTGTGCACCACGGCCAAGGCCTGGGGATTAGGGGCCCAGCAGGGCCTGCTCGGGCCGTCTTCCCCACTGCAGACACCTACCCTCCAGCTGACCCACACTTCCCTGCACAGAGCTGGGAGATTTCTGGGCAGCAGTAAGACTCCAAAACAGGGCGTTCTCACCAGCAGGCCTGGGACAGCGTTCCCAGACAAGAGCCAGGATTGAGCAAAGAGAACCCAGCTCCCGGCCTCTCGCGCCGTCACCATCCTCCAGATGTGTGGTCCCCGTTGGGTGCACAGTGTGGAAGGTCATGTTCCCATGTGATGGCGCCCAGAGAGGAACCCTCTTGGGATTCCACACCAGACGTTTGTGCTGCCTGGTTTGTATCCGGCTCACAGAGCCCAGACTGTGGGGACAGCCAAGGGCCGTCAGGCTGGACAAAAATAACTGCAAGGAGGGGTGAGAGGAGGGACAGTCAGAGGCGGCTCGGCCCTTCAAGGTCACACGGTGGGTCAAGGGCCTGAGATCCTGTTCACCCAGGATTCCGCGCAGCTGGCTCTGCTCAGAGGCCATTTCATTACCCAGCTCCGCCTGGGCCTAAGAGAGGGAACAAATGGCCTGGTGACCATTCCTGGTGGAACAGCAGAGACTGGACAAGATTGGGGCAGACCCAGGACTGACATTCAGCTGGACCAGTACTGCCAGACCAGTTGTAAAAAATGTAGAACCACTTCTGTGCTTGTTGGCAAGTATTCACATCCCCCGAGTGCCTCTAAGTGGCCCCCTGCCCCAGGTAGCTTTGGGTGGCTTTTCCCCCAGGACCCCATGCTGGTTAATGCCTGGTAGACCCAAGACTATGGGGTCCTCCAGCTGGCAATTCCTTGGTGCTTATTTGCACTGGTTATTAAATACTTCCTTCAAATGTCACCCTTGGCAAGATTCTTTCACCCCCACCCTTTGATGGAACTACCCTCCCCAGAGACTAAATTGAGGAGGTCCTTGGGCTCAGAAATAGAGTTTGCTAAAACCCTGGGGGAGAGAGCCCTTTCAGATAAGTAGAGCAGAGGGCAGAGATCATTTAAATGACCCAGAAATCTCTTTTAAAAAAGGCAAATTCCTCAAGAAGGCATGAAGAGCTGAAGTGTTCTTTCAGTCCTCAGGGTTAGGTCCATCAGATCTCTGTCCTCCTGGATACATCTGAGGTGTGTAGCAGTGGGGAGAGAAGGTGTCGTTTTAAGGAGGGGGTCACCGGCCTAGAGTGCTCCTGAGGGAGACGACAGGGAGGGCAGGGTGGTCAGCAGGCTCCCAGGAGCGGGGAGAGGGGGACAGAAGGCAGAGCCCGACTTGTCCTTTCTCACAGAGGACGGGAGGGGCTGCTTCTGCTCCGAGACTCCCTTCTTCCCTTCCTCGTCTCCCTGGCTATCCCAGCTGGTGGCTCACTGCTCCCCTGACACCATGCCAGTGCCACAATCCTGCAGTTTGGCAACCTGATAGCCCGAGAATATGGAAAGCCCATTTCCATGTTTCCAGTCCCCAACTCCAGGAGAGTCCGTTGACACCATCGAATGAGATGGAAATGGCCCAGAACTTCCAGCATCTGAGTTGACCTTGGGTTCATTCTCCTCCAAGAGATGGTGGGTGGGATTGGTGACTATGTATTTGTTTCTGGGGTTGAGGACTTGCATCTTTTGTTTCTATCCCCAACCCTTTCTGGTGTCCCCAACTCCTACCCCATTGCTGGGGCTGTTGCAGGCATCCAATAAAGTTGTTTTAGTTCTTCTAAAAACCTCAGAAAGATTCTACTTCTTAATATCTCTGGAGTCAATACTCTTCTCTCTGAACCTACAGCTATCACCCTGGTGTGGCCACTTCACCTGCCCCCAGATCACTGCCCTCCACAAGGTCACCTTGCTTCTCTCTTGCTTTGTCACTCTATTCTCAAGGCAACCAGAAAGAGCTTTAAACATGCAAATCATATCATACCAACTCTGGTATAAAACCCTTAGTCGATTACCCTATTATTCCAAAGATAAAATCCAAGCTCTTCCTCTTCTGGTCCCAACCTGATTTCCAGCCAGTTCTGATCTTGTTCGCTGTGTTCCAGCCACCCTGGCTTTCCTTCCTTTTCTCAACATTTCAACCTATTCCCACTTCCAGGACTTTGCATATGCTGTTTCCTTGCCTAGAATGCTCTTCCCCTATCTTTGTCATGGCTGAGCTCTTTACACCCTCAAGCCTTGGCTTTAACCCACCTCCTCAGAGAAGGCTTCCTTGACTGCTTGAATAGTTAGTTCATCTATCTCAAAGTCCCTTATTCTTCCCCTTCATGGGGCACTTGCCATTACACATCATGTGTGTTTACTTCTTGGTTGACCGTCTCCCCCGGCAGCATGTAAGCTCCGTGAGGCCAGAGACCACGTGTGCTTTGCTCTCTACCCTGTATCTGGTGCCACGCACAGTACCTGGCTCTAATTTGGTGTTCAATAAATATTTGTTGAATAAATGAACTGGGGAGGTGAGGAATCTTCCAGACTCAAGCTGCTGGATGGTACGGGCCCCTGTAGGGGTGAACTCCCAGCTGGCTGACTTTGTGGGGAGGCTGGAGAGCAAAGTGAGAGACGGGGCCAAGGTACTGGAAGTTCTGGCAAATGGGGAGGAGGCTCTGGCCAAAGAAAAGTGCACTCGCTCTGGAGCGCACACTGACAGCTGAGAGCAGGCAGGCGTCTCTGCCAGCAGGTATCGGTCTCCACTCTTGCCCTGATGGATTTGGCTTGCGGTAATTCTAACAAGCATTTGCAGAGGTCTGCTCTGTGCCAGACCAGGCATGGTGGAGCCAGAGGTGATGGGGACACTGTCACCCTGAGGGTGTGTGCCCTCCTTCTAATGACAGTTTGGTGAGGTGAGAGTGGAGTGAGGCCTGTTGAGAAGGCTGAGGGGACACAGAGGGGCTGTCTGCCTCTGCCTAGGGTGGCCACGGGAGAGGGGACAGCTACCAGAGGAGGCATTCTACCAGCACAGGGAACCTATGTGCAAAGGCCTGGAGACGTCACCAGGTGCCCTGCAAGTTGGTTCTAAGTTGAGTGCAGGCCTTCAGCAACGAAGGGAAGGCAGGCTAGCCTGGGCACTGAAGCCTGACTTCCTGGGTTCAGGCTCCACCTCTGTCACTTTTCAGGGTTGTGGTTTGGGTAAGTTACTTAACACCCCTAAACCCAGCTTCCTCATCAATCAAATAGGGATGATGCAGTAATGGCTATTAACTGTTGTACCTACACCCCGGACACTGTGGGGATGCTTTTCTTGGAATGTTCCCATTTTATAAATGAGACAACTAAGCCAAGTCACCATCTCCTAAAGTTAGTGGAAATCAAATGGGGCACCACGCATAAAGCCCTCAGCCCAGAGCTTGTGCCATATGAAACACTCAATCTTAGTCATTAGTGTCATTAATGGAAAGAGGCTGGATCCAAATTGGGGAAAACCTTGGGTGCCATGCAGAGTTTGGGCTTTAGCTTATAGGCAATACAAGCCATGGAAGGTTCTGCCAGGTGAATACCAAGGCAAATGCCAAGGTCAGACCTTTTAAGAAAGTGCTGCTTGGGGGTGGGGGGGGGGGATGCTGGGTGGCTCAGTCAGTTAAGTGTCTGACTCTTGATTTTGGCTCCAATCATGACCTCATGGTCAGGCTCTGTGCTGACAGCCCAGAGCCTGCTTGGGAATCTCTTTCTCTCTGTCCCTCCCCTGCTCACATGCTCACTCACTCTCTCAAAATAAAGAAATAAACTTAAAAAGAGAGAGAGAGGAAGAAAAAAAGAAAGAAAGAAAGAAAGAAAGAGAAAGAAAGAAAGAAAGAAAGAGAAGGAAGGAAAGAAAGTCCTGCTTGGGGTAGTGACTGGGAGAAGGAGTTTCCAGGTTCAAATCTACCTATTCATTGGTAACACCTAGATGCTTTTTATTTTATTTTATTTTATTTTATTTTATTTTATTTTATTTTATTTTATTTTAGAGAGAGACAGGGAAAGAGAGAGTGGGGGAGAGGGACAGAGGGAGAGAGAGAGAATCCCAAGGAGGCTCCACACCCAGCACAGAGCCTGATGTGGAGCTTGATCCCACCACCCTGAAATCATGTCCTGAGCTGAAATCAAGAGTCAGACACTCAACTGACTCAGCCACACAGATGCCACCGCCCCAAGATGATGATTTAACCTGGGTGTGGCAGGGCCCAGACATCCAATAAGGAGGTGGGAAGAAGAGTTGGGATTTCTTTACTAGTCAACGTAAATTTCTATTCAGTAGGTGAACTGAACTCCAGCTTGTGAGCCTGGAAAGGACTGATACTTTCTGAGAAGCAAAGTGGAAATTAATTTCCACAAGGGCATCTCTGCCCTCCAGGTGCCTCCTAGTCCCTGGCCCATAGTAGATCCGTAAGAAACATTTTATGTTGGATGCTTTGGA